AACAGTAACTGCATACTTAGTGAGGTTGTGGTGGACACTAAAATGAAGTTATGTAGCTAGAGACCAGAGAGACAGGAGGTTCTTTGTAAATGTTGGGCTCTGTTTTCTTACAGAGTAGTTATTTTCAGGTTTATTTTGATTATGTTCACTAACAGCCGAGAGGAAAGCAAAGTAGTGACTCCAAACACCAGTGTTTGCATCACTTAATATTTCATAAAAATTTTTAGGAAAAATTTAAAAATTAATGCAGAAAAATCAATAAAAGCAAGTCTATCTTTTGAAAAGACCAATTAAACTTAAAAATTGCTAGTCAGAGTGATCAAGCCAAACAATATGACTCAAAGCCAGTGATGAAAGAGAGAATAACACCAGACCTACAGAAATAGAAGCAGTGAAGGACCAAGAAAAACAGTGAAAACAGCAAGGCATGACTTGTACAAAGTGCACAGATTCCTGAAAAACTGTTGCTGCTAACATCCCTGAAGGAGATTAGCTATTAAGGGACGGCTAACAGTCCTAGTGGGAACTCCAGAACTTATAACTGCACTAGAGAAGTCTGCCAATGCCTACTGAAGGGATAGAACTATATCTATGCAAATCATTATAGCAAATTGAAGAGAACATTTCCCAACTCACTTCATGAAATCAGTTTTACCTTGATATCAAACTGGACAAAGAAATTAGCAGAAACATCCAATGGGTATATCTCATGAAATCAACAGACCGAGCATTAATAGACATTAATAAACCAGAGCAATGGAGCATAATAATTCGCAATACTCATGACTGAATAGTTTGTCCTTTGGCAAACATGATTGACAGGAAACATTGAACAATGTCAGTCACCATGAAACCAAGAGAAGGAAACCAAGCGATCCCAGATCTTACAAATCAGCTTTGACTAAATTCAACAGCCAATGAAAATAAGCGCTCTGCAGAACAGCTACCAAAGGGATAACAGCTCTAGTGTGTGGTGGCCCTGTTGTCTCCTGCATTGGCAGGACTGGGGATTTCTTATCAGCTAACAGAACATGGCTGTACAATAGGGTTCCATGTTCATAATCATCTTCTTGACTCACCCTCACTTGTTGTTGACTTTGAGGAAGCCCGTTGCTAGGTAGCAAGTGGATCTGGGAATAATTATACAGTAGGGAGATGTTCCCTTTAGAGGTCCACAGTGTCTTTAGAGGTGGCCAGCAGAAATCTGGGATCTCTGCTTCCTATGTGAGGAGGGAATTCTACAACAGTCCAATTGAGCTCTGAAATGGATTCTTGCCCACCTAAGTCCCCTGAAAATACTGTTCAACTCTTTCCTTGGCTCCTGGAGGTGAGACTGTGAATCAGCAGCTCAGATTGGCCATGCACAAATTCCTGAACCAGAAACTCTGAGAAATGACAGTAGACAATGAACAAGCTGCTGTGTTTATGGCCATTTATTACACAGAAGGAAACTAATATAGATTTTGGTACTTGGAATAAGATCTCTGCTATAACAGCCTCCACAAAATGTGGAGCGGCTTTGGAACACAGAACAGACTGTTAAAATCCAGAAGCAGAAAAACAAACAAACAAACAAACAAACACAAGTACAGGCCAGGCCAGACAAAGGCTGTGTTTTCCTGTATGAATCTCACTTGGAAGACCTGTCAGTGAGGGTGTCAATGGAAGTGAAGATGGTTAAGGGACATTTCTTTAACCTGACAGAGGGTATATGTGAGAAAATAAGAAGCAACATCAGATAATGAAAAACCGACAGTGCTGTCTGTTTTTACTTCTTTATTCAATGTGAGAAGCAGTCCTACAAGACAAATAAGGCAAGAAAAGTCAATATTCAGCAAGTAGATAAAAACAATAAAAAACGACAAATTCACAGACAACATGATTGCTTACACAGAACCCCTCACCAAATGTCCAGAAACAGTTCAGTAGAATTAAGAGACAAAGTTTAGCTAGTTTTACACGTTATAACATAAATATATAAAAATCTATTGTATTTATATATATGGCAAAAACAAATAGAATAATAAAATTATCCACAATGTCATAAAAAACTCATGGGAATAAATAAGATATGTATTATTTACATGTAAAAATCTACAGAAATGGATAAAAGAAAACTTAAAAGATATGAAAAAGGTTTGGAGACATTTTTAGAGTTTAGCTTTTCAATATTTCTGAGATATTAATTCTAGCCAAATTGACCTACTTATTCAATGCAATCTCTGTCAAAATCCTGGAAAGCATTTATATCTTTGAAAAAACTGGGAATTTGATTGTGAAATTTATATAGAAAAGCAAAAGACATTGGCTAATTTGTGTGATCATGATAAAGGAGAAAGTTAATGAGGGCTCATATTACCCACTTCATGGTTTACAGTGCAGCTGTAATAATTGAGAGAGTATTAATGATGTACAGATAGGTATATATAGGTTGGTGTAACATAACAGAAAGCACAAATGGACCTAAATACATATAACCAGTTAATTTTCGTTGGAGGCACCAGCAGCCCTATTCAGGGTGGGCACCATTCCTAATAATGGATTGGGAGCAGTTGGGTACTCAGACATCAGAGAAAAGCCTCATGACCATTAAACCCTGCTGATATGCAGTGGCCAGCTCTTGTACAAACCATAAGCCAACAGGAAACCTTTAGTTAGAAAAGATCCAGAGCAAAGCTTAAGAGAAATGAGCAGGACTCTGAATTTTGCAAAGGTTTCTTAGGTAGGAAGCTAGAATGCATGCTATTAAACAGGACTTCATACAAACATAAAAGCCTCTCTATGAAGGGTGCTATTTAAGGGTGTGAAGGAACAAACCACAGAACTGGGACTCATACTTCACTTGGAATCTGAAAATAACTTATAATTCTGCATTAACAAGGCAAAGTCCAGAAAAAATTGAATCACTGCCAAAGAAACAATATATTTAATTAATATGCAGAGAAATATGCTGAATGGACACTATAAATATAAATTAAAACCACAAGGAGACAGCACATGTATTAGACTGACTGAAATTGCAGAAATGAGAACTTATAATAGTGGATGATGGTGAAAAAACATCCACCATTTGCAAAAATTTGTTTATTTCTTCTAAGCTCAAGTATATGAGTTCTTCACTCCCCATTGAACTATCCCAGGCATTTAACCAACATAAATGACATGTGAGCATGAATTTCTCAAATGTCTACACACAATTTCTACCAGCGATACTCATAAATAAATAATCTCAGCTTTCATTACGAGTCCTGTGATCTCTCTGAAATGGGATGTTCCTGCCAATAAAGGGACTGATGTGTAGACAAAGTGACAGCCAATAAGATGAATAAAAACAATCTGACACAGACACAAACCTTTCACAAGACATTCTGGAAAAGACAGCTGGGCTAGGGAAGGGGGATGTTGAAATGATTTATATTAATTTCAGTTAGTGACTAACCAACTCTCAAGATCTACTCAGTTGTTCACCTAAAATGAGGGGATTTTACTCAAATAACTTAAAAAAAAAAGTCTGATTTTGAAAATGGACACACCACTTAAAATTTACTTTTCTATTGATTGTGTTTTTATACACTCCCAAACTAGTTAATGTGTTAAATGTTTTTGATAAAATAGATAATTTAAAATATTTTACAATGTTAAGTATATGAAATGAGTTTGGAAGTAGCTACGATAAAACTAGTTTTTAAATTCTTAGTGATGTAATTTTTAATCTGGCTTCTACCCTAAAAGACTTGCTGTGATTACTGAATAATACAATGTATTAGAATATAGGAACTAAAGAAAACAAACAAATAGCAAACAATATACAAAGCAGATCAGCTCTTCATCTACCTCGGGTTGTGTGACAGTGTTGGGGTGAGAGGCTAGTGGCTCCATTATGTGGAGATGCTGAGAAAAACCATTTGGTGTAGAGTTGGGAAAACATTTTTCAGGCCTGGATTTGTTTTCCCTTCCATATTCTAATTTGAGGTAGAAACTCTGGTTTTGAAGCACATCACATTGTTTGATATATTGAGTTTTCTACTAGGGGCCTCAAACTATTTCTCAAGTCAGTCTATTGTGTCTGCTGCTGTAAAACTCTGACCAGCCTCTTTGTGTCTTTTGAAAATATTGCCCCCACTAAGCACTCTAGCCTCCTCTACTCATGTGGACAAAGTCCTGGAGGACTTCACTGTTACCTTCATGTAATTAAGAGGCCACTGCTCTCTGAACACCACCATTTGCATTCCAGGACCAGTCTGCTCCAGCCTTTTCCAGGCACTACTAAGATGTCAGTAGCCTTTCCAGATTTTATGTCTATTTCCATTTTACCTGAATGTTCAGGTTCAGGACTTATCAAACCCACCTGTTCCTCTTTCCACAAACCTCTCACTCTAGGACAAATTTGAGTCAGCAACATAGTCACATGTTGAGTTTCTTTTTCCTATGAGATTTCTTAACTAATAGATCTTGAACCACAAACACCTTTTTTTTTCTGCTAGCATCTTTATCATTCATATCTCTCCATCTACTATACTTTTAGGCTTTTCCCTTCACTCTTGCTGCTATTTCTGGGATCCAAGCACTTCTTATTTGGAGCCAGACCCAATTTCTTTGATGGGGACACTCAACTATTAAAGCATTTGTTGGCACCTTTAAACTTTCCTCTGTTTTGGATTTCCATCAGGTCCTTGATGCTGATTTCTCACCATGACTGTAACTAATGTCTGTTTTCTTAGTTTTGACTCTTATCCATGAAATACTGCTGAGAACTACAGAAAACCAATGCCATGGTATCTCAGAGTAATCCTATACTGTGCCAGTTGGGTTTTCCTTCATAGTCACCATGCTTTTAATCATCTTAATGAAATTTTGAGCTCTTGGTAGTTTTCCTACCATTCTGTTAACTGAGACAATTGATTTTACATTGAAAACTATTATCACAAAAGTTCTATTTAAGTACTATAAGCCAATGTAAGTACAAATAGAATATAAGTAAAATTTAATAACATACTCACTTAGAAATGGGATTGACACTGGCTTCAATAATGGTTAAACACTTACAGCACTTGATGTTTTCTGGAAATTCTTGTACACCTAAAAAGTTGGAAAAAAATGACTTGAGTTCATGAAGATATCCAAGCAAGGCTGTCAAAGCTCTGATTCCTATAGTGAGAATAAACTATTAAAACCACAAGTTTGGATCCCTGTAGGGCAAACATTCAAGCAGAGATGATAAGTGAATATGATTAAGCCACCCAAAAAGACAGGTATACACACAATTTTCTTAATTAAAAATGAATGTTAAATAATACTTTAGAATAGTAATAGCTGGAAACTGCATATAAAATCAAGGGCAACTGTATTTGGCTTTTTACCAACTCTCAGGAGTGAAATTAAAAGTAGCCTGGTGACAATTTTTTGCAAAGGTTTTGACTGTAAAAACAGCATCACACCTTCACACTCCCACCACTGTTTTTCAGCTGAGATCATGGAACCGTATGCCCTCCCTCGTAAGAACACCCCAAGCTCACTTCTGGGAATCTCTGGGCATTCAATCTTGTTATGTGTAGGTTGGATTCGGAGTCAGGCTGAACTGGCCTTCACAATTACATGGTCACTAATTACATGGGGCATCACGTTTTATAGGCAAAATGGTATGTTTGCTTTTAAAAATGGGCAGTTTTCTCCATTCACAAACAGCAAATGACATTAGTCAATATTTATACTCCAACTGAGGACACTATGTTGGTACTTCTCCAATGTATTCATTTCAGTAAATGTACCACAAAATCTAACTTGATTGTATTCACAAAATTATTGAAAAAAGGCAAACAGCATTTCTACATTCTGAACTCAAGGCATCTTATAAACAAAACTTTTTTTTTTTTTTTTTTTTTAGGTTTTCCGAGAGAAAGGGGTTCTCTGTGTAGCTTTGCGCCTTTCCTGGACCTCGCTCTGTAGGCCAGGCTGGCCTCGAACTCACAAAGATCCGCCTGCCTCTGCCTCCCAAGTGCTGGGATTAAAGGTGTACGCCACCACCGCCTGGCATAAACAAAACTTGTAACTTCACAGAATTAAACTGCATTAACTAATTATTAATTACTTGAAGAAGATAGATACAATAGGTTACTTAGCTGCTACATCTGATTAATTCTGTTCTTCAAACTCACTGCTTTTAAAATATGAAGCTTGAACATTTTTAATGTTCCTGCTTTGGGCTGGGGTTGTAGCTCTGTTGGCAAAGTGTTGGAGTTCAGGGAGTCCTGGGCATGATTCTCAGCACCACATACACAAGGTATAGTGATGCATGCCTTCAAACCCAGCAAACTCGGGATATGGAGACAGGAAGGTCATCCTTGGCTACATAGTAGTTCAAAGCCAACTGGGGCTACATGAGCCCTATCTCAAAAGGAAAAAACAATCTCCATTTGACCATCATGCTTGTTCATTCTTCTATCAGGAAACAATATGTATAAGATAATAAAGAAATCTGAGATTAACCAATTTTCATTCCTACCTGGCATGAAGAGAGGAAACAGAAAATCATGGATAAATGTCATATTATGAAGTTTAATTTTTGCTTTTACTTAGGTTTTCCTATCTGAGGCAGACAGGATAATCTAAATAAAAGCCACATCATCTATCCAGGTTCATATTTGTGTGAATGCGACACACACACACACACACACACACACACACACACACACACACACACACACGCCTATTTGCATGGGTACACTCACCATTGAGCCAGAGATTAATACTGAGTATCTTCCTCAACCTTTCTCCATCTTATTTTTTGAGATAGGGTCTGCCATTGAACCCAAAGCTCACTTATTTGGTAAGACCCCAGATATCTTCTTATTTCCACCTCTTCAGTGCTGGGATCACAGCATGCCACCACACCTGGCATTTTAAGTTGATGCTGGGGAGCTGAGCTCCGAGTTCAATATTTGAATCGTCTCCCTGCCCCTTACAGAGGCTCTTAAGCTTGTAGTTAAAATAGCTTTCAGCTTTCTTTAATGTTAAAACGGCTTCTGAAGTCAATCTGTGTTCTTAAAACTGGCTTTAAATATATATCCAAGTATGAAAAGAAACATTTCTTTCTGAACAGAAGCTAAGTTTGGAACCCAAATGCAGGAAAAAGTCACATCATTATTAAACACTGAGCTTATCAACAATAGAGCATTGATCCCCGAGCCTATAAATAGACACCACCCAAAGGGAAACGTACCTTGTGAGATTTCTGTGACATGAAAGTTGTCTTTCCATCTCACTTTCCTGATGTTTGCTTTATTTGTTGTAACTTTTGCCCATCTTCATGATTTTCTTACCCAAACCCAGATCGAAATGCTATTTATATAGGGAAAATTAATTTCTAGCATTTGCATGAGGATTTATTCAACTACTTTAAGCTCCTTACTTCTTAATGCCTATTATTGTAGCTTATATTGCATCTGAAATTGAATGAGACTAGAAAAAATAAAAAAACAGAAAAAACAGCACAGCAAAACAAAACACCACTGTGCATGGTTATGAGATAAAGACATTGCTATTTTTCTTTTAATATATTTTTAATTTAGGCTCCTGAAGAAGGGGAACATTCACGAATTTAACAGGTTTTCCTGAGTGCTTATTCTATGTTGGGAAGTGCTGAACTTTGAGGAGATAGATGGCAGAAAAGATAGGAAATATGGGGGATTCTTTTTATTTGTGGAGCTTATATTTTATGAGGTGAATGCATATAATAAATGTATATATATAAATGTAAGTATATACTGTGTTTTAGCAAGGAGTAGGAAGACCATGATGTAGTCAGACACTGGGATTAATTAATGTTTAATTTCCTAGGATCTACCTAGAAAAACACTGACAAATTTGCAAGTGTTTGTTAAATTGTCTCTAAATTATATTTTACATCAATAACTTGAAGCATGGAACTAAAATAGATTTCAGACACGGAAAGAAACACTTGATTTTGGTATGGAGGATGTAGATTTTAATTACCTAAATTAAGATGAAAAGGATAATTATCACTTTTCAAACAAAAAAAATACAACAGACTTTATAAATGCCAAATTTAAATGATTGAGTGCCCCTTCAAATTTGCATGAAACATTTCTTGCTTATAAATTTTGCACAAATGAATATTCATAAGTATGGTTGATATATACTGAATGCTTTTGTTCTCTGAACTGTATAAATACATCAAATAGTTTACTCTGTGGTATAAGTGCTAAATGCTAGGAAAAACCTACAATGCTGTATCTTATATAATAAAACAACAGAAACATAGCTAATAAAACTTTTCACCTATATTCTGATTATTACTAATCTTTGAAATTATTGTTTTTATTTTGAGAACAGGCAGGTTACTTGCATGCTGAGCAAGTTGAATTAGACTCTGATTATTAAAAGATGAAAAGCACAGAGAAAGATGCTATACACACTTTACTTCAATCTCAAGAATTTTTAAAAAATGACTAACAAAGCCAGTAAGATTCAATGGCTGGGCAGGATTTGAAATCAGGATATCTCAAATACTGTCATGTTTGCCTATTCTGAGAAACACTCATAAAATCTAGGATTTTATAATTTCTAGCTATATATATTCAGCAATGTAGTACTTAAGAAAGGGCAATATGCATGGAATCTGATGCAAACCTACTTTTTTAAGTGTGTCAGCAAGAAGAAATTATAACTATTGTCTCTTTAGAGCAGAGGTGACAGGACTACAGAGTGTCTCCAGCACTCTTCCCACTAATCAGTCCTGCATGGTGTAGACAAAACTCTTTACTCTTGTAAAAACAGTCAGTTCTGCAACATGGATGAGCTCATGTGAGCACAGCAAACTTAAATTGTCCAATTAGAGTTGTTTACAGAAGATGATTAGATAGGAACTATTTTGCAATAATTATGACTGTAACAAATTTAAAATTTTGACATATGAGAAGGTACATGCTAACTTTACTTTATGTCTTAGTCTCTACAGAAGGTTACTAAGGATATGTGGCATATAGTGCAACAGTCTATAGGGTAAGTAAGGACTGGCAAGGAGAAGTTTGAGGACAGTTTACAACATTCTGCAAGGTCAAAGTGAAAGCATAACTGCTGAGTTAGTGAATGGAGAAGCATCTGGGTGATGCATTGCATTCTACCCCCAGGGAAAAGAAAGAGAGACTCAGCAACCACATCGTGGGAGGTACGAGTTACTTGTGAGAGCCTGCCTGCCTCAGTAGCATTACATAGAAAACCAAATACTTGTGAAGTTATTAGTATTTGGATACAGTCACATAACTGAATTTTCCTTAGGGACATATCTTGAGAAAATTCCGTAGTTTTTATGACCTTGACCCATAGTGTATTCATAGAGGAATACTTGTGACTTAGTCCAAATGCAGTGATTGACACTGATTCTGTGTTCCCTTTCTTTACTTTAATAACAGAGATTTTGAGTGAGAATTTCATGAAATGGTCTCCTTAATATTTTTTTGTATTTAATGTTTCAATTCTCCCTCATTTTCACTAGGCTGCTTCACTGGGCATTCCATCTACCTATATTTTGATAGAAGGTGCTGCGGCTCTGAGGACAGTGTGAGGTTCAGCTCCTTTTCACAATGGATGAAGGGTACTGCATGGTAGTGAAGACGGAAAATGCCTCATACAAGCTCAGTTTCATTCTCTTCAAATTGTCTGTAAGGATTTATGGACCATATAGAATTCATTAATCATATGTTTTGAAAAGTTCCGCAGTGACACTGGGAACCCTGACCCTGCTGACAGGACTCTGAGAGGACTTCAGAGGGTGAGGGATGGCACTCTTCTTCCTTGTATTAATTGCACAAACTGTCTGAGTGTTGCTGGCATGTTTCAGGCTTCATGTCTCTATGAAGACACCAGAGTTAAAAGGTCTGGTGCTGGGAGGTGACCAGAGTAGCAGATTTGCTTTGTTTTTCATTGCCATGAAGTTATTTAATGAAGCAAAAGACTTTGAGTTTATTTGAACCATCATGGACAGAAGAAATTCTAAAGACAGAGAAAGTAGACCTAAGGTGTAAGAGATAGTGATTTTTAGTAAGTTATTTAGTAATGGT